GAATCAGGTCAGATCCGCTTTCTATGCATCCAGATGCTCGTTCTATTGGCACAGCCATATTTATACCTGCACGCATGTATGCACTGATGTTGATATGCAGAACTGTATGTTACTTGTGTGTGCGCTCTAACTGTGTGCATATATTGATGTGCATGGTGGCCGCCGGCCCATTCCACCACCGTGCCTCCTGGGTTCTGGGCCAGAGGCCTCTTGTTTGCTGGGGTCTCTCGGGATGAGGGGCCTCTTGACGGGCCTCTGGGGGGTCCCGTTGGGGACCTTTTGGAAGCCTCTCGGGGCCTCTGGTGCGAGGGAAAGGCTCCGAATGGGCACCTCTTGGGGCCGTTTTGGAAGCTTCCTGGGCCGTCTTGGGGGTCGGAGCAGGCTCTCCCCGCCTCCCCCCCTCCCTTTCATCCCCCCCCGTTCCACAGTCGAATCCCCGCTCTGCGTTTTTAAGTTTTTTTTTGCGGGGGGGGCTTCGACCTCTGGTCCGAATCGTGACCATGTTCTCATGCTTGGCTGGGTATGGCCAGGGGTGGGCCTGTGGCTTCGGTGTGTAACGTCCAGAGAGGGGTGTCGCCGTGCCGTTGTTCACACTTTCGATTGCGCGGATTTCGCAGAATCTGGTTCGTGATCACCAACTCGCACCCTCCCGCTTCACTGCTGGTGTTTTTCCGAACCCTCCTGTGTTGGGCTCTCGTTTTGAATAGAGTAGTTTGGTCTCCATCTCCTCTCCTCCTCTCCTCTCCTCCTTCTCTCCTGTTTCCGGTGTTCCCTTTTCCTCTTCTCTCGTGCCGTCTGGTTCCTGATACCTGCCTCGCCGTCTTGCCTGTTGGGTGGGCGTGCCTATGGGTTGCGACACTTTCGTGGGCTCCTGGAAGGCCCAGCGGAGGTACGTCCTGCGCGGACCACCTTGAGACCTCGCCGCCCCCGGGGGGGCTTGCGATCTGCGCAACTGTCGCCACTTTCGTGGGCTCCTGGGAGGCCCAGCGGAGGTACGTCCCACGCGGACCACCTCGAGACCTCGCCGCCCCTTTGTGGGCTTGCGATCTGCGCAACTGTTGGCATTTTCGTGGGCTCGATCTGCGCAATTGTCGGCACTTTCGTGGGCTCCTGGGAGGCCCAGCGGAGGTACGTCCCACGCGGACCACCTCGAGACCTCGCCGCCCCCTGGGGGGCTTGCGATCTGCCCAACTGTCGCCACTTTCGTGGGCTCCTGGGAGGCCCAGCGGAGGTACGTCCCACGCGGACCACCTCGAGACCTCGCCGCCCCCTGGGGGGCTTGCGATCTGCGAAATTGTCGGCACTTTCGTGGGTTCCTGGGAGGCCCAGCGGAGGTTCGTCATGCACAGATCACCTCGGAACCTCGCCGCCCCCTGAAGTGCTTGCGATCTGCGCAACTGTCGGCACTTTCGTGGGCTCCTGGGGGCCCAGCGGAGGTACGTATATGCGGGACCACCTCCGAGACCTGCCGCCCCACTTTTGGGGCTTGCGATCTGCCGAAAATTGTTGCCACTTTAGTGGGCTCCTGGGAGGCCCCCAGCGGAGTTTAACGTCATGCACAGATCATCGGGACCTCGGCCTGCCCCATGGGGGGCTTGCGATATGCGAATCTGTCGGCACTTTCGTGGGCTCCTGGTGGACAAGCGGAGGTACGTCCCACGCGGACCCCCTCGAGACCCGCCGCCCCCTCGCCCCCTCGAGGGGCTTGCTTCTTGGAAGTTGTCGCCACTTTCGTGGGTTCCTGGAGGGCCAGCGGAGGTACGTCATGCACAGATCACCTCGGGACCTCGCCGCCCCCTGGAGTGCTTGCGATCTGCGCAACTGTCGCCACTTTTGTGGGCTCCTGGGAGGCCCAGCGGAGGTACGTCATACGCGGACCACCTCGAGACCTCGCCGCCCCCTGGGGGGCTTGCGATCTGCGCTTTTGTCGCCACTTTCGTGGGCTCCTGGGAGGCCCAGCGGAGGTGCGTCCCACGCGGACCACCTCGGGACCTCGCCGCCCCCTCGGGGGCTTGCGATCGGCGCAACTGTCGCTATTTTCGTGGGCTCCTGGGAGGCCCAGCGGAGGTACGTCCCACGCGGACCACCTCGGGACCTCGCCGCCCCCTGGGGGGCTTGCGGTCTGCTCAACCGTCGCCACTTTCGTGGGCTCCTGGGAGGCACAGCGGAGGTACGTCAAACGCAGATCACCTCGGGACCTCGCCGCCCCCTGGGGGCTTGCGATCTGCACAATTGTCGGCACTTTCGTGGGATCCTTGGAGGCCCAGCGGAGGTACGTCATGCACAGATCACCTCAGGACCTCGCCGCCCCCTGGGGGGCTTGCGATCTGCGCAACTGTCGGCACTTTCGTGGGCTCCTTGGAGGCCCAGCGGAGGTACGTCCCACGCGGACCACCTCGAGACCTCGCCGCCCCCTGGGGGGCTTGCGATCAGCGCAACTGCCGGCACGTTCGTGGGCTCTTGGGAGGCCCAGCTGAGGTACGTCCCACGCGGATCACCTCGGGACTTCGTCGCCCTTTGGGGGGCTTGCATTGAGCGGTCCTGAATTTAATCGCCACATGTGTAGAAATTCTTGGGTACGTCGCAGGGTTTTTTGTCAACCATCCTGTGGTGTTGGGTCCTCGTTTTGAAGAGACAGCGCACCGCGTCCCACCTTCCTCCTTCCTCCTCCTCCCTCTCCTCCCCCTCCTCCCTGCTCCCCCTCCTTGCCTCTGCTCTCGGCACACCTCTCACACGTTTCGTAGCCCCATAGGGAGCTCCACCGAAGGCCCCAGTGGTTGCTCTCGCATGCGGTTCCCCCACCCAGGGCAGCGTTTCGTGGCCCCACAGGGAGCTCCACCGAAGGCCCCAGTGGCTGCTGTCGCATGCGGTTCCCCCACCCAAGGCAGCGCTTCGTGGCCCCATAGGGAGCTCCACCGAAGGCCCCAGTGGCTGCTCTCGCATGCGGTCCCCCACCCAGGGCAGCGTTCCGTGGCCTTATAGGGAGCTCCACCGAAGGCCCCAGTGGCTGCTCTCGCATGCGGTTCCCCCACCCAAGGCAGCGTTTCGTGGCCCCATAGGGACCTCCACCGAAGGCCCC